ATGCGTGGACCAAGGTGTCTGAGATTGTTGGTGTTCCTGGTGAGTTGCTGATGTGCATTAACGTTATAGTAATAATAATCTAATGACATAATAAATAATAGTATAATAGTCCCAGTTCACTTTTAAACTTTTAAATCAATTTTCCTGATTATACTTACATTAAGTAATGTTTATACCTGATTATACTTACTTAAGTAACATTTTCAGTGCAGGACTTTTACTTGTATCAGAGTATTTTTACAGTGTGGTATTAGTGCTTTATACATTATGAGGTAAAGGATTTTAATACTTCGTCCACAACAATATTTAATGAGGTTAACTTAACGTTACCCTCCTTGTGGTCAGTCTGCACAAGATCAACAAGCGTGTTTGCTTTGCGACCCTTTTAAATGCAAGATAAGCATTCGCTCTACGTCAGAGCATCCACTGCAATACTAGAGGTTTTATTTTATTCATCATTGTTATTGTGTATATAACATCCAATACTGAATATTTAATTGTGCATGACCTTGTTTTTGCATTTGGATTACCTTCGCCTTCATCTCAACACTCATTTAAAGTTACCCTTGAAAAACACTAATAATTTAGTAACAAGTTAAATATAATTTTTTATTTTTTTGGAAAATCTCAGAAAATATATTATAATATTGTGATGCTAAATAAAGATAACGATAAAGATATAGTTCTAAAAATCGTTCTCAATATTAAAGAATAGCCTCTATGCACAAGCGTAACGACGAACTTCCGCTGTCGCCAGAAGTCGGGATATCAGTTTCCGGTTTTCATTCGCGTCGCCCAAAATGCCAGTATTTTCTAGATGTCTCCGAGATCTACGAGTAAGAATCAGTGATGTCTATCGTATCGTTAATGCCCACACTTAAGTGGTTCAACAAAAGTGCACATTTTCATTTAATTGCAATTAACGTGCAATTAAGTGTCCAAAAGCATCACATTTTATTACAGTTAAGTATATTATTTTAAATGATTTCCATAATAAGTACTTTAAAAAAAAGTTTGCTAAAGTGTTCTTAAATGGACCTGTAGCACAATGACCAGACAATGACTTCACCTGTGCCCTGATCTTTATTAAAAACTGAGAGGGGGAGAAGTTTAATACAAGTGATAATACAATTATCACCCAAAAAAAAAACAAAAAAACGAACTGTCTGCGTTTAAAATGTGAGAAAAACAAGCTTCTAAAATGAGCATGTCGCTAACTAGCTTAGCCGTTGTTTTTCTCACATTTTAAACGCAGACAGTTCGTTTTTTTGTTTTTTTTTTGGGTGATAATTGTATTATCACTTGTATTAAACTTCTCCCCCTCTCAGTTTTTAATAAAGATCAGGGTACAGGTGAAGTCATTGTCTGGTCATTGTGCTACAGGTCCATAATGAGGAATGCTGAGAAAATTCACAGTTCGAGTGTATGGTGAAGCTAGGATTGACTTCTAAAATGAGCCTGTCGCTAACTAGCTTAGCCGTTAGATGCCGAAATAACACATTAGATTAAACTATTTGTGCACATAACTCGATATATTGTGTTTGAATTCCTTGTTTTGCTTGTGTATTGGAGCAGGGAACCGGGCATTAACGATACGATAGACATCACTTTTTCTTACTCGTAGATCTCGGAGACATCTAGAAAATATTGACATTTTTGGCAACACGAATGAAAAGCGGAAACTGATATCCCGACTTCTGGCAACAGCGGAAGTTCGTCGCTACGCTTGTGCACAGAGTCCCAGGTGAAGTCATTGTCTGGTCATTGTGCTACAGGTCCATAATGAGGAATGCTGAGAAAACTCACACTTCGAGTGTATGGTGAAGCTAGGATTGGTAAACCTGCAATTATAAGCTTGTTACTTTAATAACCCGGCGTTTTAATGTCCCGGGGATTTTGCCATGGTAATTCATGTTTAATATAATTTTAAAGTAGTACGTAATGAAAACAGTGGCTAAAATTGGCAGGTGAGTTTACCTTGCTGGTCCCAATTCGGGTTACTGCATGCATTCTTGTTCATGTTATAATCATATTACTTATTATAACTCGGTGTTCCTGATGTTCCTAGAGATTCAGTTAAGGTCATTCATGTTTAATGTAACTCAAATCTAATGAAAACATTTACAGTAGGCAGGTAAGTGGTGGCAAATTAAGCGCTTTTAGCTGGAATGGCTTATTGTTGGATCTCAAAATTTTTTGGGAAAAAAGTGGGCAATACTAGAGGTTTAAAACAGACGATATCGTTCGCTGGTGTGGACGCTAATATCGTTATCTTTAGTTATCGTTCTTGGTGTGAACGGGGCTTTAGACTAGTCTCGCGTAGCCAGACCTTCAGACTGACGGCTGAAGGTCTGGAATCCATGGCAGCTTTCATTGGCCAAGGCCCGCCCATGAGGCCGTTTGACCGACATGTCAAACAACCAATCACAGTTCGTTTCATTCAGCATCACGTTTCAGGGTGTGGAAATGTCGCCACAATATCAGACCGGTGTGTAAAACTCTCGGACGTATTTTAAAGATTCTATGCCGCGAACTTTAAATATTTCACATACTTTTGAATATCCAGCGTTTAGTTGATCCTGATAAGCGCTCGTCGTCACAGTTGTAGACACGACGCCTTTCTTCTTTCGTGAGGGGGTTTGGCATCACGGCATCTTTGTTTCGTTTCGTCTCTGAACGTTAAAGAACGCTACACACACGTCTCCCAGAAATACTGTATAATTCAACCAATCCGATGACCACTTCAAAACTCCTGAAGTGTTTCCACCTTTGTGTGCCGTATGCATCAGACGTTCAGCCAATGGTCCGTGGGCGTGACGTCTGAGGCTGAGACTAACCTTAAACCAGCCCTAAGTGAGCTGTCATCAGTCCGCCATTGTGTCGACTCCGGTGCAGGGAAAGACAAGAATGTCTCTGAGGTGTTTTGTTGTTGGATGCAATAATGAATATAGAAGTCATCATTTACTCCCGACATCTGAGCCGCTGAAGACGCAGAGGATTAACGTTACTTTCGTTTTGAAGTGAATGCGCCGATCCCTAATCTGCCTAAATGCGTCTATGTTCGCGCGAATCATTCGTGATCCAGCTTCATCTACAGTAGAAGTGAGTATAAGGGTTTTTTTATGAATCTTTGCAAATCGCCTTTCCTAATAACGTGCTAGTTAGCAAGTTCCATGGCTAAAGTAAACAGTATCATGAGAACGGCTCGTCACCCACGGAAAAGAGGGGCGGGGTCAGCAGAGCTCATTAGCATTTAAAGCAACATGGACTAGAACCGTGTGCTGAAAATAGAGCTGATTTTGACAGGGTAAAAAGGGTGTTTTTTACACTACCATTGAGAAATTTTAACCTAAGTATGTTATAGACTTTTCATTAAGACCCTAAAGAATCATATCAACTTGTGGAAAATAGGCATCCGATGACCATTTTAAATTGTTTTTCTTCCAAAATATAAGTTGGAACCAACCAGTTCTTATTCAGTATACGCATACAGATGCGTAATAAGTGGTAATAAGTACACCTGTGCCAAACAAGACACAAAGGCCCTTATACAGACCTAAATATAACTTACCATATAAGATATCCTTCCCTCTTGAGCAAGAATAACACAGGCTAGACTTGAACTTTCCCTTCAACCCACACGGTGCAAGCGTTTGGCCATGATGACTTGTTAAGGAAGTGGCTGCCTCCAAACACCATGTCGGCTATTCAACAGGTTAATTACTGATACTGGAAACACATCTGGTTTAATTATAGAGACACAGAATAGTGCTATGAGGGGGGAAAGCATCAGATGTTAATTTACTGTTACTACTAATGACTGTAAAGCATCCTTTTTTTAAATCGAAGGTTTTTGAAAGCTCATGTGACACTGAAGACTGGAGTAATGGCTGCTGAAAACTCAGCTTTGCCATCACAGGAATACATTTACATTTCAAAATACATTAGAGTTATTTTAAATTGCAATAATATTTCACAATAGTACTGTTATTCCTTATCAAATAAATCCAAATACAGGAGACTTCTTACAAAAAACAATCCCAAACCTTTAAACTATAACATAGAAACGTATCTCAAGAAATTGAAAGTAATTTGCTGCACTATTGGAAATCCCATTGGAGAAACTATCAGCAAATTTATCGAAGCCGCCCATTCAATAGCAGATTATTGACACTAAACTGTGCTTTGTATGGATCCCTTTCAGTCAATGCAATCCTTCTCCTTCCTGTTTGTAATAGACTACAAATTGTCCTCATAAGTTAATCTATCATGGCCCATTATGGGGAACCCACTGAGAACCAAAGCCACACTCTAAATCAACATTTGATTTACAGAAGTCTCAATGCATCATATCACACAAACACCTTCACATGCTGGACATATTCGACCACACTGCGTTCCTCTCCATTTAGCAGCTCCAGCAAAAGTAATGTCAAGAAAAACAGATGAGAAACGGAGTGAGCAATGATAATAAGAAATGGATATTTCTGCAAGAACTTTTGCAAGGCACAGATTCGAGTCTTTCCTTTCTACTTATCTAATGATGCAAGTTGTTGCAAGTGTTTAGTTTTTTTTTTAAAGGTTACAATTCATGTACGTTTTTTTTTTTCAGAGAAGAGATTGCTTACTAAACAGAAATTTTCCAGAAATTGTTGTCATTAATCTGTGTGTAAAAAATGGTGTGATTCGGAGCAATCTGAAATAAATCCCTACTTTATCAGCCAATCTGGAGACTTCAGAAGTTCAAAAAGCCACTCACCAGTTTATGCTCTGAGTGTTCTGTCAACAAGCAAATTTACAAGCACCTGGGTGAGACGAAAAAAAAAATTAAAAACAAGTAAATAAAACCGAACAGCGTAGTAAAAGACCAAGGAACATATTGCACACATTTAGAGGCTATATTAAACACCATTAGTTACTGAGAAACACAAGCTCCAGACACGCAACGTTTATACACTGATGCTATAAAAGACAACTTTGGGAAAAAATAGCACATTTTTATTCAGATATTTGCCCCATGTGAATCTTACTGCACATTTACTAGAAGCTTTCGTTCTGTTTTAATGAGTGTCTCTCCTGCAACAAACCCTGAGTGAAGTGGAATTTTATTTATTTTCTTTTATTCTCTGGCTGTAATGCTGTTATAAAGACCTCTCACTTTATTCTAGATTAAAGCTACATATACAGTATGTATGCACTAACGTTCAATAAAAAAAAGAAACAGCACAATTGTATGTAACGTTAATACTAGTGCTGTCAACGTTATAGCATGCGATTAATTTTACAATCCTTAACGCAAAATTACTGAAGCACAATTTCTATTCTAACCTTTTAACCCAATTTTGCTTCTCTGCTTGCGATCAGATAATTTTAAGCTGCTAAACTCCGGGAAAGTTTTCAGTCCAATGATCCAGTAAGTGAATACATTCAAACAATCCGTCCAAAACAGCGCTAATATAAAGGAAACCAGGCTGATTACATCAGAGATCGCAGAGAGAACAGAGACTCGTGTTGCGTTTTCAGTTAATTATTCATTCCAGTGTGTTTCGCTTTTAAACACGAGCTCTGTCATATTCTGTGA